CAGCGAGCCTAGCGAGCCTTGTGGAAATCGCTATAACTTCCTTATCGCGCCATATTGAGGGATGAAAGTGGTATCATCTTCGTCAAGGCGTAGAGGGTTCCAAAAAGCACGAAGTCATTTTGAGGACCACTTGATCGCGGGGAGTGTCTTTAAGGAATCCATCTGTCGCAGCACGCCAGCTTCATTTCGCGCCTCCGAATGATGAAAACGTCACACTCCTGCAGCTGGGGCCTGTCTACCTTACACATTGCAAGGATCCATCTTGCAGTTACATCCCTTATACCTGAGACGGAGTAGGCGTGGCATTGAACATGGCACGAAATAGGTCACTCGTGGGATATTTCGATTCGAGACAACTGTTATCTTCCTACGACAGAAACACGACCACAACTGTGTCAAAATGAAAATATGTCTCCAAAACCACCATGCATTGTTGAAGGACGCAGCCACGCCTACCACATCTCAGGGATTCCAAGTGTAAGTGTACAAGGTATCTTTAAATATATTCAGGCATAGCGAACTTCCTCTGTATCATCGTATTCATGTCTGCGGTATCGAAGGAGGTAGGAAACAAGATTCATCCGGCCAGCGAGATGGACGATCCGCTGTTTCATTTCGAATATGGATTCTCGTTCATCTTACTCAAGGTGAGCTACGAATTCTATTCACATTTTCTTAATCAATTCTATCTTTAAGAGCTCATTTCTTCTCACTGAACTAGCAGCACTGTTCTCAATCGTCGTCTACATGGCTAAAAGAGACGAACGCACGTTCAATCGATACAAAATTCGAAGTCTCTTGAACTTTGGCCCTGTAAGGAATATCTAGTTGATGGAATTGGCTAAACGTCTTTCAAGTGAAGACTTTGCAGGGTTCGATGAGCGAAGACAAGACAGATTCGGAATTGATTCAAGAGAGCTACAGCAACCCGAAAACGCGATACAATCGAGGACGACGAGCGGGGTCAGCTGCCTCCAAAAGTCTCCGTAGATCGCAAGTTTTTCTGTTCTGTCGAGATTCTCGAAGGAGACCTCTTGTGGAGCAAAAAATCTGGCTTGATCACGTCAGCTTCTTAGTTGTATCACCGTACCCCATGCCCCTGAGCGGGTGCGAGCATCGCCTTTATTTGTCCCTCTCGCTAACTAAACTACTTAACTGAACTTTAGTCACTAAAAGGATACGGCAAGATTGTTTCTTCTTGCGGGGCATCAAGAGACAAAGCCGGGATGAGCCTTATCTTCTTTGGAAACGCCCGGTTCATGTCTTCGAATTCCCGAAGCCTGTGCGAGGTCCTTCACAAAAGATCAAGAGAAGTCTTTAGAGTGTCCTGCACACTCCGTACCTCGGAGGCTCAGAGGGTAGTGCTGCCCGTACTTCTCTGCCAACAGAGCAACTCGACGTCCGTACTCAGCGAGGGGAGGGGCTATGCGGTGGGGGGGGGCGTACTCGGTAGAAGGAGAGGGGTCGTATTTCGCCTGAAAAATTTTTTAGTTGATTTTTCCTACTTCACGCGCCTTATCCGTAACGCTGTGATATTCCCAGGGGATGGGGGGGGGGGCGTAATTGCTTGGGGCTTTGAGAGGGAGGGAGTCATATCTGGCATCAAGAGCTTTTGTTCTAGCGCGAAACAATTTTTTCCGGTTGTCAACTACAAGCTGGTTGGCGCAGCTGAAGTTCTATACACTTCATACAAACTATTAGGTTGTCCGGAAAGGAATGCGCGTTCGAGCTTAAAAATTTTTTTATTATAAAAACGAAATTAAACAAGATAAATTCAAAAGACAATCTCCATTAGTATCAATGACTTGTTGTCAACATTTATGCAAAAAATGGATTCCTCTTCTGAAGAACTCGACCGGCTGCGACTCAAAGAAGTTGGACACCAGAGTTGGACCTTTTTCGCGGTTTGTGAATTTTCTCTCGGCCAGGGAGTTCTGCATCGACCGGAACAGATGGTAATCGATGGTGCCAGGTCTGATCTGTGTGGCGGATGAGGCAGGACTTTCCAGCCCAATTCCTCAATTTTTTTCTAGAGTGATTTTCGCCACATGTGGATGAGCGTTGTCGTGGATAAATTTTGTCGACGTCGTTTCGACACTTTGAAGACGCAGTGCTGGATCCATGCGGTTCAATTGGTGTTTGCAGATGTCCGCCGTAACCGTCTGACCCGATTCCGGAACTTCAAAGTACATCAAACCTTTGCTATTCCACCAAACACGGAGCATCACCTTTTTGCCGCGTATATCAGGTTTCGGAGTCCGTTTTGGAGGGTCACTGGAGTCTAACCACTGTCCTTTTCTCGTTGCGTTATCGAAGCAGACCCTTTTCTCATTTGATGTAATAATAGAGTCGAAAAAACCGCTGTTCTTGGAGCGACGAAGAAGAATTCCGGCCATTGCCACTCGTGTTGCCTTGTTTGCGTCGCTCAGCTGGTGCGGCACCCGCTCTTCCCAACTTTTTTCCCCAAAAAAAGCAAAGTAGACATGGACAAAAATATATCAAAAGAAGCACAATAAAAATCTCTTTCTAATAGACAAAACTGTCTCCAAAAATCTTCTATAGTAGGAGAGAAAAAAATGGACAAGTTCAAAAAATTCAACGCGCATTCCTTTCCGGACAACCTAATACTATTCTTCACACGTTGAGAACAAAAGTTGTTTGCTGGGGAGTTCTCCCGCCCGCCGCCCCCTTTCCTACACACGTACACAGTTGTTTTGGAGCGAAAAAGTGGGGTTTTCGAGCGGAAATTGGAAATTAATGCGCCATGTAAAGGAAAGTTCGCAACGGGCAGTATGATGATAGGCCTAGCATAAGGGGCAGGGGTTCGTGCACCAGAGGAGGAGGAATGGGAGCGGGGGGGGGTGATGGTCGAACACATGAGGAAGAAAATGGGGAATGGGGGGGGGGTCGCATTCTCGAAAATTTTTACCAGCGGCATGAAGTGCCCCGCTCTAGAACATGGTGGGCGCCAGCTGCGCTTCTGCTGGGATATTGCCGTTTCGGGATAGCTGTGACCAAGTTCCTACCTATAAAGACAAGATGGCAATCGTCTCGAGTGGAAATATACAGCGATAGACGCACCGCAATGTTAAAATAAACTACGCAGCCAGGCCCTGCGTACCTCCGGGCTCAGGAATGTAAATATAGTGTAGTTCGCTGCGGACGGTGGGGCGTGTCAGGCAGGATGAGTTTGGCGCGGTGCCAAACCCGTTCTCCACCAGCTGTTAAAGCGAGCAAGTGACAAGACTGTATCATGTCGTTCGTATCACTCGTTTCCCAACAACTGTTGTCGCGTAACTGCTTCAACAACTGGCAGAGAACGGGTTTTTCACCGTGGCACACTCATACTGCCTGACACGCCCCACCGTCCGCAGCGAACTACACTTTAATCACACCCTGAAACAGCTGAGTCAAAAAATGGGGTACAAAAGAATTTGCGACATGAGCTTAAACAAATATAGAAGTTTCTTCAGGAAAATCATAGAAGTTCAGGATATGCAGTCCATCGTTGTCAGATCGCACATCACTCGATAGCATTGCATCACCGGTAGGAAAACGTCCCGAATACAAAAGCAGTGTCCCACCGCCACCTGGAGCTCTATTCCTTCCAGGATTTGGCACGGTTAGTTTCAATTTATGTTCTTAACCATTCAAATTGCAGTAAAATGATCGCGCGGTAATCTGTCAGGCCAGCGATCATACGCTTGGCTTTGGGACCAAATGTGGCCCAGACATTACCAACTCTTCTTCCATACGTTCCAATGACCTCTAAGGAAAACAGCGCTAGTTACCCGAAAAGGGCATTTGCAAGATTCCCTTTGTAGAACTGGGGCTACAGCAGCAGAAACGAAGCCTATTGCCTCAATGGGAAGAGAGTTCTGGACAGATGAATCAATTCCGTGAACGGCAATCCCATCCTTGTCCACTTTCGATCACAATGGGAAAACACCATGTACGCCAGCAGTGACAAGTGGTGCCGGGGCGCGCATCCGAGGTAAAATCCTGGATCGTATTCCGCCTCGGTCAAACAACCCTTCCATCCCTCCATAGCTAGTAAACTGGAACAAATTCGTCTTCTGGGTGAAAAAACACAGATTTGTTAATTGACTGACCCTTCGCAAGTCACTGTATAGGCTAAATTGCATTCAAAAGTCACTACGATTCTAGATGGCAGTAATGTGGGTGGCGCACCTTAAAAATTGTTGATTCACGCCGGGAACTTAACCTTTTTATCCTTTATTTGAACCATATTGCCCCAACAATCACTGCGTAGGGCAGCTTACCATTCAAATGCCACCACATTTCCTATCAAAGGCCCAACGCGTAGCGCGAACCGCACAGAATGATCCACGCCAAGCGAACTATCTCGCATCTACATAGCGTATTGCTCACGCTGGCTTATTTGAAGCATGATGTTTTCGCCATTTATCGACCCCTTTTCGAATGCGACATACATTCCACTTCCATTCAGAATTGTAGTGACTTAGTGAATGCGATGTGGCCATAGACTAGACTTGTGGGGCCAGCCAGCGTACAAATGACTGTTCTTATCTCCCAGACGAATCTGTATTCAATTGCACCGGAGGATTAGAGGGCTTGGGTTGCTTGGTGAGGACGATGCCTGGATTGACCCCACGACCGAGCCTTGTTGTTAAAGACAGCCTTCCGCCGCGATAAAGAGTCTCATGGATAAGCTGCGTTCCCAAGTTATGAACAGCAGCGATAAAGTAATCTCCGCAAAGAAGAAAGTGGCAGAAGACGTCTCCCAGAGACCAACATACACAAAATCGCTCGTCACAGTTACACCTCCTCGGTCTCTGTGCAGGCCCTAGGCTCACTAAGTCTTCTCTAATGCAGTCGTCATGTAGTGTGGATGATCATCAGTGCAAGAGAGAAAGAAATACAAAAAGAAAACAACAAAACGGGGGCAGGAGGAAAGAACTCTGGGAAGGAAAAAGGAATTTTATCAACACGGTGTCTGAATTTGTGATTACGGTAGCGCACCTTTTGTGCGTCGTGGTTTTGCATCACGAAAATTGCGTCACTCGTGTTTTTTACGCGTTTCACCTCGCGAAATGGGTTGAATTGAATGTATATACCTCCAATGAGTAAACTGTAATGAAGGAGAGCAGAATTATCCAGGGGCATTAGCAAATGCCCCGGACGTCGCACCCACTAAGACATGAGTGGCTCCGTCGAGGACATACGTAAGCAAGTAAAGGCGGTCCGACTGAGGAGGAGTTAGAACTAGCACTTTGAGCGGCTATAGCAGCCTCCACGCTCACAATAGAGTCGCGAAAGGTGAACAGTCTTCTAGCTTGGAGGCTAGACTACTTGCACAGCAAAGGCGACCACGAGCCACTTTGATCGCGGGGGCTGTCTTAAGCCATTGTCGTATACCCCATAACTGCGTAGCATTTATGGACTCCAAAAATGCGGGTTTTGTAGCTCGGCACGATAGGCAACTCACATAAATCAACATATTTTTGAGATGCCGCCACCGGCGGCAATTTACTGGCATGCTGAATCGTAGGGTCTTTTGAATGTGCAATATACGGCTATACAGTGACTTGCGAGAGTCAGCTCAAATAACCTGTATTGAACTTGTATTGTAAGGATGGTTCCGATCTTTTTTTCTCATGTATGCTTACGGCACGGGACGTAAATAACTCCTATATGACTATGAAAATTCATTAGTGTATCTATCACAAGACTATAGAAATTCAGACTAATTGCGAGTAATTCTCCAAGCGCTCTACGTTAAATTGAAGTTCGGTCGTCACCCCGAAACGTATGACACCTTGACAGAGGCTTTAAACTACAAAGAATGTCCTCGCTGTGTGATTAAACTAGGACCAAGCAATAAGTGGATAGACGACGTATCGACCTATCTATAGATAAATAACTAACGATTAAAGTTAATATTATGTTGTGTAGACCTCATCGCTTGCATTCGTGAACAAAAAAAACCTCAACGAGAACACTGCCCGCATCACACATACCAAACCCAATCCGGAATATTGGAAGCTTGCTTCTCAAGACACCCGATTTAGAAAGTAAGTTGTGGCCCACATTATTGATTGGCGAGCCAGGAAATGTGGGGTGTACAGGAAGAAGTTTTCCAACCGTCGGAGAATAGCACAATTCGGATGATCAGCAGCTCGATGTTTTCGAACAATGCATATCGAGGAAAAGCGTAGGCATAGAACTGTTGATTTAGGAGAATAAGTGAACCGGAGATCGGTCGAGATCGTAGACTTATCGCATTCTTTCTTTTCCACGTCAAAGTACTATTACATGATTTCCATTCGAAAAGCACTTCAAAATCAACAATTTATTTTACGTAACATACAAAACAACACACTTTTAGGCCTTAACAGCATACTTGCGCATAGGGAATGCTCTCTGTTTCTTCAGCTGTTTGGCAGTTCGGAGGCTTTGTTCGTGAGCAGTCAACCTTCGGACGGACTAGCCACGAGTCTCTCTTGCGAAGATCAATCGGCTTGTTGTTGTGCTTTCTGAACATGAGCTTTATGTGACTATCCCCTACAACCTCTATTACGGTACCAAGGGAGCATCCACACAAAAAAAAATTCAAAAGATTTATATGAAAATACAGTTAAAAACCTACCGCATACAGTTTACGGAGTTCCTGCTTCTGAGTCTGATGGATAATTGTGTGAACACGAGCAATGTTTTTCTTTACAATCTTGATCTTGCACAACTTTGCTGGCGCACCACCAGTAACCTTCGCTACCTGTAAGGAAACTATTTACTTCCTCACTGGGCAAACTCAAGCGACTGTACGCGCTATTGTTACTCGATCCCGGTTGTTTACTGGTAGGGCAGAATATTCCTGGTAGGTATGAACGCACTCCGAGAGGATGCAAAAGGGTTGTAAGTACTTGAATCTGAGTAAGCGGAAATTAGGATTCAAGAGAACCAAGAATAAAAGCACATAGAAATTATTTCTTACTTCGCTCTGCCATACTGATTGCCGGTGAGTCAGGAAGGGGAGAAAGAAAGAATCGACAAATCAAAAAAAGAACGGGAAAATGGTTCATACAGCCAATATCACAATGGCGGAATCCGACCGTGGACTTTCCTTCCAGCGGATTTCTCAATTCACCGGCTCCCTAGCTCACCCTGGCTACGCACACGGGCCAGAAGTTTATAAGATTGCCAACGCATAATTGATAAAACAGTTCCCAACCCATCTTCTCCAAGATATGAACGTCTTCAAAAGTCTACTATCAACCAGCAGACACGATAGGAACAGCTGTTTTGAACAGGGACAGGGAACCCACTCTTTTCCCCATGTGACAAGGGCTCCTCCAGCAACTAACATATACAACTGAAATAATAGGAGGGTAAGAAAAAAATCTGAACCTGATTGAGGAACGGGATCAGATCACAATGGTACTGAAAGTTAATAAGCATCAAAGTTAGTTCAGGTTCATAGACAACGCTAAAACCGGAAAAAACTCGTAAATCGGTAAGTAATGTTATTCTTCGGTCGATTTTTGTATCGGAGTTGACGAAATAGGAAGAATCCGGCAAAAAGCGACTTGACGTAGTGCTGACTGAACCCGACCATCCGCAGGTTTTGTGAGAACGAGGCAAACGTCACTGTCAACGGAGGAATTGACCAAGATGCGTTCCACATTCTAGGCAATTCCAACGCGGACACCAGACGGAGACAGGCGATAAGCGTGGTTGCTTCAGTAATGCGCTACGCCACTGGGCCAAGTACTAGAACAAGTCATAAGGTGTTGACCTAGGCGTAGCGTCACCTTACACAGGGCGGACTACGATTCAACATCTATCGCTATCTCTAGCGCTGACGCTGGGGTACGTTGAAACAGTGCTTAGCGCCAGAGTATGAACACAGCAGGCTTGATGCGTTGAAGAATCGGGCGGACGGTTGGATCATAATTTCTTGCCGCCTTATACACTGACACACTCCTTAAACATAAGCTGGTAGGAAAACAGGTCACAAACAGGAACCCAAACCGAGCAAAGCACTCGAGACCATGAAAAATAACCCCATTTGGAATACTCAAAGGCCACACATCACATTTAAGGTGAACCAGAAACCCCCAGTCGTGTAGTCTTTATGAAAATATAGTAGCCAATCTCCAAGTCACAAGAATCACAACACAAAAAATGCACGTACCCTAAGTGAAGCTAATTCGGAGCTCTGCTCTGAGAGCAGCTTCATGAGGTCCTCCTTCTTCTTGCCACGAAGTTCTTGAATCTTTAACTTCGTCATTCTTTTACCTAAATAATACTGCTCATTATCGAAAACTGCAAAACGAACAATGATGATGAAATGACTCGACCTAACCAGGGAAGTCCGCCAACTTACCATGGTTTGGATGGAGACTGTGTAGCTCGATAGAGCCTATAATTTACAAATACATATAGCAAACTGCGACCTGCGTTTCATAAGCATCTTATAAGTAGGCTGCAGTTTTGCTATCTATATTTGTAAATAACCTTATAGACTCTATCGATCTACCCAGGTCTCCATTCAAAGTTCCATGGTAAGTTGGCGGACTTCCCTGGTAAGAAGCTACGACGAATACGACAAAAGAACGAAAACGTAGGAACCATTTTTGTAGAGAACAGGCGGAAGGGCGGGGAAAAACAAAAAAAAGACAGCAGCAATAAGCGATGCCCAAAGTCTTCTTCAACATATTATTGACAAGACTACGAATAAAATCGGGAACGGCTTCTCAAACAATCATAAATAGCTTACGGGCTTACACAAGGCCATTTTGTAAAGTTCTGCAAAGATACAAAGGCAGGCGAACCAGTTCTGTTCCAAACCACTTCTACGCAGAGATTGGTTCATATTAACGGAATTAACATATTAATCCCATCGAAACTTATGTCTGACACTCTATGCCCCAGTATAGAATGTCAGATTTTCAAAAGACATGATTCTGAACCTGAACTGTGCTTGGGTCTCATAGGGCCTTAAAGCAACTAAAGAACATGCAAATAATTGCGCGTCTAGAAACTATATCACGAATAACAACAACAAAAAATCGCCCAGTTAAGCACTTACAGCACGAGATTTCACAAAATTTCCTTGCGAGAGTGGGAGATTCTAAAGTATTTTCCTGATAAGCAATGTTAAACTACAAACTCATAAGAAAATACATGGAATTGACGCCACATACCCCTGTATGATAGAGTAACATAAAGGTACCTAAACATAGGAGCCAGCTGATACAAGTACCTACAACAACAACTCAAAAATAATAAAAGAAATAGCAAAATTAGGTACGACGACATTTTATGAAAAGTACTTCGAAGTGAAATCGTGGAGGGACCATCAGCCGCGTCGCGGCGCGCCGCGACGTGATTCTCTCTAGAGCGCGGTAATCGTAACGGGTTCGTCAAAATGTGAGTGAAGGTATTCATGCGTGATGGTGAAAAGGGTCGGCAGAAAGGCTAATGCCGTTTGGACTCCAGCAACTTCGGCACCGAGCTCATTAAGTAGCGCAGAAATTAGGAGAAACATTGCCTTAAGCAAGGCAATAGTTTTTGACGGATGTTCGCTGTCATTTAAGGCAAAAAGAGCTAAGTCAATGGAAGGAAATTTCTAATAAAGTCAGTGCTTTTGATTGGAAGGGGATCGAAATTGAGGCGCACCAGGGGGGGGAGGACGACGCTGTTGTACTTCGAAAGAAACTTTTAGGAGTCCCTCGAATGCGCTAACTATATTGCATTGAAATTCAAGCTGGTAACTACAATAAAGTTCCTAGCAGCATACATTACTTCTTTATTGGTGGAAACTATGTTCATGCCGCAGGATTATTCTGAGCGGTTCTAGTCGTTTTTTGCTCTAAGTTGAGCGCCGTGTTATAAAAGATATAAGGAGCGCTTGTCCATGCCCGCAACATATCTACGTTAGGAAAAATCTCTCACGAGAAACGCATTTCTCTTCAAAGAGCTACGCAGCAACTCCCCCTTCCCACTCTTTAAATGAGCTACGTCCCTGCTTGCTATGTCCGGGACATGGAGAGTACGTAGAGATCTTTAACACTCGATTCAAGGAAAATTGTCTTGTAGGTGTAATTTTTGTACTTATGGGTGGTATAAAGAGAGGAAGGACCACTTACCATGCCCCTGGTTCCGAATCCAGCCCAATTTTCTTTTTTCGATTCTTTTCCGTGTAGGGTAATTGGTATAAAACCCATCTAATAGCATGGAGCACTACCATCATCATTGATATTGCCCATATAGTTTTTCTAGTATCGCATCGGCCGTACGCATTTTGATTCTGGAAAGCACTGCACTCCAAATAGGGTCTGATCTGCACCGAGTGCTTCATCCCTTGCCTTCAGCGGGCCATTCGATTGAGATGCTATTTATCTGGCCTGCTCGGCATGCAGAATCAACCACACATGGATTAGGAAAACGGGCACATCAAGTCGTTGGTGTATTCCCTAACAGAGAGTATACAGTCTAACAGAAATTCTTTGATAGCAGTTCTTTTTTCAAGAGCGCTATGAGGGCAAGGTTCTAGTATTTGTTCTTGCTTGTTTGGAAGAGGGTGATTTATTCACGTTCTGACTCTGAAAGCTTTTTTCTGCATTATTTTGTTGGATTTTTTGTTTCTTATATTCTACCTACACTCCCTATCCCTGAGCAAGAGTAGGCGTGGCATTTGAACATGGCACGGAATTGGTTACTCGTGGAATATTCCGGTCTAGGACAACAGTCATCTTGTTCAGGATGAAAATATCCCACCAGAAGCATAAACACCTCCAGGTTAAGTTGAAGTATGCGGCCACGCCTACCCGATCTCAGGGATTTCGACCATACCTCTCGACAACAAAATCTTGGAATTCCGGAAAAACTGGTAGGAAGGTGGGAAAATCCGAGAAAGTGGTAGGTGGGATGGGGAAGGGAGGGAAGATCGCATTTTCCTCGCGGTTTTCCCTCTCACATGCGCCATATACCCCTTCATTCTGGACAGCTCGATGAGGAATGTAACTAGGGTGGTCGTAATAAAGACAGTTACAAGGGGTGGGGGTCGTTACGGATTTGACCCAAAATCCCTCGACAAAATACTGCGCGACTGAAAATGAAATCTAGGGGTGGGGGGGGCAGTGAACTCAGCGCCAGCAAAACGCGCTAAAACGTGATAACCGTGTGCGGCGAATACGGACTCTTTGAAATAATATTTCTAAGATCTATGCGGTAATATTTAGCGCAAATTCTGCTTTTTGCGATGTTCCTTCTACTGCGATTGTAATTCGTAACATCTATGATTCTCAAAATCACAACTTGATTCTAGCAAATCCAACAACTTGTTATGCGGGAGTACCTAGAACTGGGCGGAAGTGCAGCTGGATTCCTATGCTGCTGTCCTACAGTTTTTTCAGCGCTGATCGAAGAGATATGTGGGATGATGGGAGTCAAAATGATATTTTAGTATTGTGGGGCAGAAGTGAATCACTCAACCGGGACTCTTCTTTTTCCTGCTAGGGTTTTGCAAATTCCACATTGCTCTTGGTCTATGTCGTTCCTTCCCATGGTCCGCCTCAACTCGCTCTTACTATCAGAGAAAGTGTTCGTTTCGATTGCTTTGCCCGTTCTGCACAAGAATGGCGTACGTCTTTGGGGGCAAAGATAGCTCGCAACGGAGTTATATACGTCTTAGGTTCCCAGCGCCAAACTGGATAGTTGTGGAGAGGGAGATTCGGTGAAAAGGACTAGGTAAGGATGTATTTCAAAGATTGATAAGGATGGGTTTTGAAGGGCTACATAAAAGATGGATGTCGTCAGTCAGGTTATGCAGAGTTATGCAGAGTCAGCTGAATCAGTTTCCCATCCAGCTCTTCGCGGACCTTATGAGCGCGCATTTACCCATTCTGATATGTAGCAAAAATGTTCTGATCGTATCTGAGTAACTTGCTGTTTCTGAATGTCCCTATTAAGGGAGTCACTGACGAAAATTCCAGGTATCTGCATGACATACAGCAACTCAGGGCAAGTCATGTCGACATCAGCTCCCAAGGAAGGTGAGTTCATGCAATTAACATTAAAAAAATCCGTCAAAATCCTTTCCGTCATTCACTACTTATGCAAAGAGTGTTTCAGCTGTTCACTTCAAATCACGTTCGTCGCAGTACCTCCACAGAAGATCCGCCCTGTCAGAGATCCCAATCATTCCTGAATCAGTACTTACACCTGAGTCTAGTCAACAAGGTTCACCTTTGTTAATTTTAGCACACATTTCATGTCTATCATTCATGTGCAGTTATTGAGGCTGCGTTCATACTTGTCGTCGGCGTTCTGAGCGTGTCGTTAGACCGACTCCTACAGTCTAGTTCGCTACGGAGAAGGGGCGTGTCAGATGGGCTGAGTTTGGCGCGGTGACAGACCCGTCCTCCATCAGTGTTGAAGCGAGCAAGTGACAAAACTGTATCATATCTTTCGTATCACTCGTTTTCTACCAACTGTTGTCGCATACCCGCTTCAACAACTGGCAGAGAACGGGTTTGGCGCCGTGGCACACTCATACTGCCTGACACGCCCCTTCATCCGCAGCGAACGAGCGTTTACATCTTCCTCTTCGCTCTAAACGCTCAACGCGCGGCGAACATTATGAACACATTATAAGCCTTATTATTCCACATAAGTAACACGTTATTGAAGTAATATCTTATAGATGAGCGCTATGCTTGTGAAAGTACGTTCACATCTACAAATGAGAGAAAGCGCCTACGAGATGATAAAGATACTATGGATATTGATGATGGGATAAGCAAGTTTGTTGAAGCGTGTTTGTTCATGAGGCCGCGTTCACACCTTGATGAAACACTCCAGAACCGAAGAAGGCGCAGGTCTGCGACTGCGGAAGGGGGGGGGGGTGGAGCATTTTGCACTTTGCTGCTTCACATGTCTCGGTTTACAAGTCTCGCTCTGATAAAACCTGTGAACTCTAGTGAAGCTGGAGCAGGCTCTTCGAGCCAGCATAGTAAAATCTGCCAACTCTCGTGAGCTAATGAAAAACTCTGTAAATGGCTCGACAGTCGATTGGAAGTAGCAAAGCGCTAAATGTTACTCCCCCCCCCTCCCCTCCCTCGTCGCCGAGGCCTCCGATGAAATATGAAAGGGGAAATTGGAGAATCAACAGAACACTTTATGTGCACGCGTGGTGATGGAGAGGGCTTGGATGTGTACTTCACTTGAACATGACGTAGGGCGTGACATGCTTCAGTCAAGGGATGTATCTGTCTGGGGAATCCTGGCATGGGCCCGACAGAGACGTGATTGCAATTTTTCTAAAACGGCAGTGTCATTCCAAAATCGCAGCCGCATTGAGATCTTTTTCCGGTATCCGACCTTCCCGCGCACTCCCCTGTTCCTCCACTCTGTGATTCTCCAATTCTCCAGTTCCACCAGTGATGAACGCGGCCTCAGTTTTGGTCATAGTTTTCTGTGAGAAATAGTCCCTATTAAGAATACGCATGAAGCCTGATATTCTCACGTTTTACCGCACTCCAGGAGCTTTTAAATTTTGTCGTCGGATAAGCAGTGGACCTCCGATAGGTATGATTTCCCATTAACCAGTCGTTTTCTATTCCAATGGAAACTTTTTCAGACCATTTCCATACCAGCAATCGATCTTTTTTAAACAAGAGAGACCTTTGCAATGCGATGGCTACTTGTAGACTTTTATATAGGGCAGGGTATGTTGAAGCTTTCTTCTATATTTTGTAGGGTATTATGCCTTTGCTAATTCATACTGCTCCCGCTGCAAAGTATGAACGCATCAAGAGAGCTTTCAGCAATAAAAGCCTAAGTTTACAACGAGTGGGCGGGATCACTATAGCTCATCATCGCTGCGAGACATTAAGTCATAGAAACTGGGACTAGATGTTGGAGGTCAATCTGGATGGAGAATGAAAGATTCATGAAATCACAGCGAAAATCTTTAGCTGGCTTCTCTACGGCTTCAGAACGTTCCCTGTTGTTCATTATCCACCATTGCTTTGTTCTTTGATACTTCATTGCATATTGCTATAATTTCGTTTAAGCTCCCACTGCCGGACTTGGGAACACATGGATTTGTTCAATCGTACAGTCTTCAACCACTCCCTCATTTGCTTCCTTAATAGACGACTGAAGGTGATGCGCATGGCGGACACTAATGTCAGTTCTTTGAACTCACATATTAGTTTTTATTTTTAAATCATGCGCTGGGTCATGCACTCGTGCGAGCTGTGACTGGTCTTGAGTTTGAAGTGCTCGGAGAGCTGCTTAAAGGACGTCCCCAGCAGCGCTGATTAGGCACGTTGCATGCAGACTTGGAGATAGTTGCACCCATCCCGAACAAGCATTAAATCGGAAGAAGTGGCGCGGCAAAATAAGACGAGCGGACCGCGCTACAGAGCGGAACAAACGCTGAAGAAGAAGAAGAAGACGATTTTTGAATTGTGCGCTGTTCCGCATGGAGGGGAGAGGTGTTTGATTTTGTGGCTCACTAGTTTCTTCAGTTTTACATTGTTGAGACCTGCGAACTCTTGTATAGCTGTGAGATGGATGAAACCTCGTTGACTGGCTTTGGTGAGGCATCTAAATATGTAAGCTTACCTGATGTGAGAGCTTTACAGTGTATGAGCCTCACTAGTGTTTAACAGTCTCCACGTCGTTGGGAACTAGTGAAATGCCCATCTCCAGGCAGAACAACAACTTGAATCTTTATTCGCTGAACGTGCATGTAGGGTTGCGTTCATACTATGCGTCGGCGTTTTCACGTTTTTTTTTCAGCGAGTGGGAAAGTGCATATAAGACAGCGTTTTGAGCATACGTTAGCGCATGCGAGCGTGCGCGAGCGTGAAGCACCGTTTCGAGCGTCTAGAAAAGCGCAGGTATCGATCTAGTGCGCAACGGCGGTTCTGAGCGACTAGGGCAGTGTGGACATCGATCTAACGTTTTGACGTACGTCAGCATTTTCAGCGGCTGCTCGTGAAAACGCTCAAAACGCTGGTTATCCATACTTCCCTGGTTGCTCAAAACGCTGTAATCCGGTGCGCGCTAGATTGATACCCGTACTCTCCTAGTCGCTGGTAAGGCTCGTAGCGCTAGCGCACGCTCAAAACATTGACGCTGCCGTGCGCTAGAACGCTGACGCAAAGCATGAACGCAGCCCAAGGCTCGGTTCACACCTACACAAATTTGCCACATCCTCTGTGGCATGGACACGTCTTTCGACATGCTCATGAGTAGCTGTCTGATATGGGAAGAATAGGAGCGCGAAGCGCTATGAGCTGCACTCACCAGGGAAGTTCGCCAACTTACCATGGAATTTTGAATGGAGACCTGGGTAGATCGATAAGGTTATTTACAAATATAGATAGCAAAACTGCAACCTGCATTTCACAAGCAACTTATGAGCAGGTAAAGTTTGTAATGGTGCAGTAGGGTGGAGACTTGGTGGTGAGTTGTTGCGTGAGCTGTTGAACAGAAGCTAGAGGAATTCGGCTTGCGTCAATCGAGTCGTGGGGTAGTTTTAATGGTAATGTTCAAGTGTCGACGACTCGCGGTCGACGTGATGGATTCCGGCGCTTGTATCGCTCTTCACAGCCCTCTCTACCACCGAAGCCTCCAACTACTTTGCCACCATGTACAAATCTTTACCTGCTCAATAAGTTGCTTTGGAAATGTAGTTGTGTGGAGGACTTCGGGTTGAGAGTGCTTTATTGAGCACGAGGAGACAACTTGGACATCACACCGCCACTGCAGGCCGTCTTTTAATAGAGCCTTAGATGAACTATCACTGTTAACACAACCAATGTAAACAAACGCTCCATTTATCACTTAGGGCAGTGAGCTCATTAGTATTGAGCGGTCTGCCACAACACCTCCCCCTAAGATGCAATGGTGGGATTGTTTTTTTTTATACAATAACAACATTCATCTTATTAATGGGTAAGTTCTTTTGTCTACATGTATGTCTTCTGATGTGGCTTGACTTGGAGTCGGCTCGGCGGTCGGCGGTTGCGTTGTGGGCGTTCTTTGAGCGGTGTGGTTTTCTTCCGTGATGAAGCTTCTGAATCTGAACATTTAATTGTTGCATCTGTGTTGCCGAAGTCACTGGATTCTGGAACGACGGTTTCGCACGATGTGCCGGTTCAGGTGATAAGTCGTAGCTTTCCAGTGATGTCTGCTCTGGTGTGGCGGCCATGCGTGGACGTAGTTGATTTGCATGACGACATTCCACGGCTTCATTCACGAGGACGTCGTATACTGTATTTCCGCGGCAGTTGAGGATCTTTCCTGGTATCCATTTCTTTCTGCCTCTTTGAAATGCTTTCACCCACACGGGGTCTTCCGGCTTGAAGGATTTCATGCGAGCTCCATGGTGTCTGTTGAACTGATTTTCCATGTCTTCGTTGCGCGCCGTCGGTACGCTTCTAGGTGTCGTCATAGAGACTGAAGCAGGCGTTCGAGACGATGTCTAGACAGTTCTCTGCTGGTGATCGTCCTTCGGGTGAAGATGAGCATGGTGTGCTGCGGTAGGATAGCAAAAATTTCTGTACGGCCTCTGTTGTTGTTTCGGATTCCTTCAGCTTCTCCAATCCACGTTTGAAAGTGTCGACGAATCTTTCGACTTGTCCATTCGATTGTGGATGGTACGGTGGACTGCGTATATGGACGATCCCATTCGTTTTGCAGAAGTTCTCGAATTCCAATGAAGTGAATTGGCTTCCATTGTCCGAAACTAAGATTTCGGATATCCATATCGGCGCCTCGTGCACACTCTGTTTAGTTTGCCGTAATTTGTAGCCTTGCTTCGCTTTCTTTTTGATAACATTGCCGTTGTGAAGACATTTCCATGATTTCTGGCCATTTTGAGTATGCATCCACTATAATGAGGTACATCTTCCCATCAATTGGTCCTGCGAAATCCACATGAATACGTGACCATGGTTTCTGTTCGTATGGCCAGGAGAATAGCTGTGTCTTTTGACTGCTGTAGCTTTTTGGCCGCCGCTTCTTGACAGCTACTGCAGGTTCGAACATAATCTTCTATGTCCTTGGTGATATTTGTCCAGTAGACATATGAGCGGGCTAGGCTCTTCATTCTTTGACATTCCGGTCCTGTGTGCCCTTACGTGTGACAGTTTCAGACATCACGGCTTAACTTCGCTGGTTATTGACAATTCATTTGCGTCCAAAGAAAAGGCAGTCGTCTTGGAGCGAGAGAGACTGGCGGAGACTGAAGTAAGATCTGATCTCCGGCGTAGGTTTCTTTGGCCAATTGTCTTCACGGACGTACTGGATCACGCTCTTCAGCGTATTGTCTGCGAGACTTTCTTCTGCGATCTGATTCATGTCATGGG